TTTTTTTTTTTTTTTTTTTTTTTTCTCTCGAACTTCAATACCGCGTTCCCTTCATTCCCTTCTCTGTTTCATCGAATGAATCCCTATCCCATTCATCTTTTTTCTGATAATTCAGTTCGAATCCATTTGAGAGAAAAATTATCGAACGTTATATCTCGTTAATGGAAGGTGAATGGTAAAAAATAATTCTGGAAAGGGATACGATACGGGATCCCTGTTTTCTTCGCTCGATCGCGAGAAAAACGGATAGGAATTACAAGAGAAATTACTTTTCTCTCTTCCGCCTTTTTATCAATATACGAGGTATCTTGAGCGGAAGCGGAGGATACTCCCACGGAAAACAAGAGTGTCGCAATGCCACCGTGGCTGTAATTCTCTCGGTGGTGAGAATTTTATAAATAAAAAAGTTCCGCAACAAGGCACGAACTCGACGAGTGGTCGGAGAATAAGAAGTTCGAGGTTGGCTGTTGCTGCTGCTGCGCTCTTCTTCTTCTACCGGTTGCGATAGTTTTTCAGAAAATAACGCTCCAGCTCCGCTCTCCTTCGCGCCGCAGGACAACTCGCGGAAAGATATATTTTCTATTTTAAATTCGGTTTTTATTTATATACCGCCAACGGTTCTCGCCGCTTGCCTTCTCATCCGTTCTTTCCCTTCTTCTTCCTTTTTTTCTTTTCGATACGTTTATTTCTCCGAGATTCCATGGCAGATTTGGGTCGACTTTCAACGACGGCAACGTGAAATAAATATTAATGTCGTCGTTGAAGAAATGATTTAAATTTAATGACAACGTATTTATTCTCCGCGACATTGATGTTACTAAGTATGATATTTTTTTATATGTTAATGCGAAATATATGCAATATAGGTATACCTACAAATTTCCCTGTGAAAAAACTGTAACAATTCCGTGGAGAAACGTTTTTCCTTCCAAAACCTTTCAAGTTTCAAAATAATCCCGACATCGTTGAATAACGAAAATCGTTTCGATGAATCGAGCGAAAATAACGGGAGCATAAAAGAAAAATCTCCACCATCTCCTCTCCTTACGTCCCCTTTTCGTTCAAACGTCGAGTTTATTCTCCGCATTTTTAAAACCTTGGCGAAACACGTTTCTCCCATTCACCCCCGAACAGCCCCAATCTATCGTACCCTACCATTGAACGTCACTCGTTTCTTCGCGGCAACGGAAACAGTCTCGCCGTTTACGATCCAACTCGCAAATTTTGTCCACGGTTTTCAACATCCGCTTAGTTACACGGTCGAGTCGAGGGAGGGGAGGCGCGACAATCATCTCTCCTTGCATGCTCTTCGCATTCTCACCAACGGTCTGAATCTCCTCCACGAATCTTTGCTTCGAAACGACGAAAACTCTTCTTCTCCTCCCCCTCCCCTCCTTATGAAACTCGTCTTTGAACCTCTTCGAATGCAAAGAAAAGAAAGTTGCGCGCGATAGAGAAGAAAATTCACGCGTGTCCCATTCGTCCCCTCGTTCGAGCTTTCTGCTCTTTTGCATCCGCGAGAAATCAATCGTCGAGAAAATCTCAACGGGGGTCGAAATCCGCGACATCAGCTTCCACGAACAATTTGAGATAGAGAAAGAGATAGATAGAGATAGAAAGAGAGAGAAGCCACGCCACTTTCCGTGGTTAGTCGGGCAGTAAATAAAGCTGTCTACCTTTAAAACAATAAGATCGTCTCGCGAACGGATATCACTCGAGCCGGTCTTTCTCCCGAGCAATTTCGTTGCCGCGACACGACAGGCGCAGACCATCGGAAAACAAGGCAGCTGCAATATTTGTCGAGGAAAATCTGGGGGGGGAGGAGGGCAAATTGAAATGACGCGTGTGAGATGAACCTGTCACGACCTTCAGACTTTTTCCATCATGAAAATTGCACGCGAATCCCCTGTCCCGTACACGATATATCTTGCGTACACCTTATGAGTTGAGAATTAATGTTGCAGAGTTTCGCGAGAGTGGCGCAAGGTTCGACTTACTTCCGACGAGGAGGATCGCTCAAGTTTTCTTCTCCGCTACGACGCCTGCATCCCTCGAAATCGTGAAACGGGCCACCCGTTAACCGATCGATTCGAAATGTAGCGTGCTTCCTCCGAAACGAGAGGAATGGAAGAAACACAAACTTGGACGGAAATCACGACGAAATCCCAATTACACGATGGAGGAAAGTTTGATCAGAGAAATATTCGAGCTGTGAGAAATATTCGAGCATGTCGACTTTGAAGATGAGACGTTGGTAGCGACGTGAGTATCGTGGTGGAATATAGAGCGGAGAAAAAAGCATGCAGGTATAAGCCTCGTCCTCGAAAGCGTAACGCCTCGCCATTGTTATTCAATGGGCAACGTCGGCGAGCTAATGCGTTCGGATAAGAAGTGTTTTATATGCACGGAGGTGGGATAAGTTTCGAAACGCGTATTTCTAGACAGATACGCACGCCATTTTCGATTGCGCCCTTAACATCGTTCGGATGTATACTCATACACGGTTTAGTATACTCGGCTTCGAGTCTTTCTTATTTTTCCTTAGCGACAACGCTCGTTCTTCCGCATCTTCTCCGCGCATTTTCTCCGTGGAAAATAAAATACGGGAGAACGGTAGAATATGATACGATATCGCGGAAACTCGAGCGCTCCACGCGGAGAAAGAATATCAGCTTTCGAAAATCCGCGGGCGGATCATCAATCATCGATTATTATCAATCATTCTTAATCACTCTCCTTTGACGACAAGCTCGCAAAGTTGCGCGTTAATCGACGCTATTTTCGAAAATTGTTGCATCACGGCCGGAACAAATTACCGGAACGATTCACAGGTTCGATATAATTTTTCACTTGGAACGCTTTCGCTTTCGCTTTCGCGCGAAATCCGGCGAAATCCTGTCACCTTGATGGCCGGCTGCTTAATTTCCGGGATAGGCTCATTAATAACGGTATAAGGGAAAGGAACGCGTGCAGGTCGGTGGTGGAGTCGGCGTGGAAGTCGGCCGCCTTTGTCTCGACTTCCGGCCTCCCGATGCTTTTCACGGGAGCATCCACCCTTCCTGACGAGGGTACGAAACTTTCACCGACCCCTTTCTTCGTGCTCACCTCTACCCTCTCCGTATTCCCCGTAGGCAGTCTGGCTGGCTGGCTGGCTGGCTGGCTGAAACTTCAAACTTTTCCACTCGTCGACTCG